TAGAATTCTATCCAAAATATATTTGAGAATATAAATACATTTATAGTTTGAATACAAAAAATTTTATTAACACTTTTATTTCTCTTCAAACTTCCATTTTTGTTCTTAATAGAATTCAAATGTCATCTATTATTTTAATTTAAGTATAGTATTAAAAATTGTCAAATATTTCCTTGACAAGCTTTTAGTAAACAAAGTAATTTTATTCACATGTAATCCCGTTTTGCTACTAAATTACAGTAACTTTCAATGATTATGAGCAAATTTGAATAATAAATACTTTTTCTTGCACACATTTTCAGTATATTTAAGTTATATGACCTTTGAACTAGGCTATTATTATTTTGTATCGTATTTATAAAATATTCAGTTAAAGTAAATGAGATTATATAAAACATGTAGTCAAACTCTTTTATTTTATTACTTTTAATTAGTAAATTAGAAACTAATTTTGGCTCAAAATGGAAAATATTAAAAATAATACTACCGCTATAGTAAAATTTTTAAGGCAGCTTTAGCTCCACTGACGGAAGAAGAATTAGCCTTAATTAAGCAACAAAATAAACATCGATCAGCAATGAAAAGAAAGGCTGAGGTCAGATCTATTTCTATAATAATTATATTTTTCAAATATTTTCTAATAAAAATTTGAACTCAAAAGTTATTTTACTTTGGTAAAATCAGTCTTTTATAATATTAACATGGTATAAAGTATGAAAAAATCGTTTAAAAATTTTTCAAATATTTTTTTATAAAAAACTTTTTAACAGTTATTACAGGTGTCAGATTCAGAGAAAGAACTAGATGGTAGCATATCAAGTCAATCTTATTCTAATGGCGGTGGTATGTGCTAAATTTTTTAATTAATTTTTTATAGTTTTAATTAAATTTTATGTGCATAATTGTGCGTAAATTATTTAAACTATGTACACATTTTGCATCTATTTATAAAAAGTATGATTCTTTAATTGAAAATTTTAAATTATGTAAAATATATTATAGAAAACTCTCATTTCAGCATCAGATGCTAATCCAATGTTACACAATTCTCACTTCAGAATTGATGATCTAACAGTTGGTAACATTGACAGTTTATCTACCAATTATAATCCACATGATCTAGCATTTGAACCAACGAAAAATTTAGTTCGTTATTTTATCTCTAAATTAATAAATGCAAATTCTAGCTTTTACTAATTCTTCTAAAGAATATATTGTAAACATAAATAAATGATTAATTCTTTTTAAAATTCAAATCATCAACCTCGACTACGAATAACTAGACATTTCTGAAATTAATCTCATCTCATTACAAAACCATAAATCCCTTCAAGATGTGATCAAATAAATTTAAGGTTTTCAATGGCCCATTCGACTACGAGAATCTTACGTATTTTATACGTATTCGTAATACATCAACTAAGCATATCGCCTTTGCGATTAAAAGTAACGCTATACCACGTGTTTTGGCAGCACCTCCTTGCGGCATTTTACCACCAAAACACAAACGTGATATCGCCGTCATCCTGAAGGTGATTAATTCAGTTCTAAAAATACAGCAAAACCTTTACTCTACTTTTTAATAGAACAAATAAATTTAGATCTGCTTCACATCAATAAACATATATCTCTGACCAAACTAACTAAATTACACTACACCTCAGAAATGCCGAATTTTGACTATATTTATTTCCATTTATTTTTTGTAGAAGATTGATAGCTTTGATCCGAGCGTAGTAGAAAATGATCGACTAGCATTTGAATATGTATTTTGTCCACCCGAAACAGAGAAATTTAAATTCAAACTGCTGCAGGTAACGAATTTAATATTATAACAAATTACCAGAATTGCAAGATCACAAAATTATGTAGAATACAGGAGGATAAATTAATAATGTAAAGTTTAACAATATTCGTTAATTCATAATGCAGTTGACTAAACCTTTCTCTTTTCAATTAGATGAAAATACAACAAAATCAACAAGTATCTCGTAAACTACGTCTATATGTGCATGAGTATAGGGAAAGCAAAATAAAAATTAGCGTCTAGCAAGCTAATATGAAATAACAAATAAAATACTTCATCATAATTTTTGCTTTCCATATATTAAAAGCGGAATCAGTGTCTAACAAGCCATTACTATATATCATTGATAATAATTTAAGAACTTTAATTTGAAATCAACATAAAGATAAAGAGAATTTTTTGTGCCTAGTTGTTCTTACAATTAGAATTACAATTTTTCAGACTGAACTACGACGAAGAAAAAATATTTACATCAAGTATAATTTGTAATAAACATGTAATTTTCTTACTGGATAATTTTTAAGATGAAAGACAATTCGGATCTTCAAACCACATAAAACTTTACATCTTCAGAAAAAAAAACTTACAATCAACAAATAACGAGGTAAATAAAAAGACGGATTTTCCACAGCACGCGTATGGTCTATGTATTTTCTTAGGAATCCTTACTGCAATATTTTGCACACTCTTTCAAATAATAACTGCATTACAAGCAAAAGTACAAAATTCTGCGTTTGAAACTTTTTGGAAATCATGATAACAATGTGGACTAATGGGTTAAAAAATTTTATAAATGCTGAATCATATACTACTGCAAATCCGTCACTCTTTCACGAAGATATAAACAAAAGTTTACAAACAACTAACTATACAGCTTTAAACTCGTAAAATTTCGAGACAGTTTTTATAACATATTGATATCCAGTCTGGGAAAGTTGTCGACCAATGAACTTGATTGATCTGAAATTTTAATTTACATTTCACTGTCAAAAAAAGAATAAGTAAAATATGCAGTGTGTTAATTCATAAGTTTTAGTAACTGAAATTTTCTTAGCTCTGCTAAGAAAAATTTCTTAGCTCCTCATGCGTGAAATATTGTGATTTAATACTGTGTTTATAGTCATAAGTTTTTTTTTTAATAACAGTAAAAATTTTTAAAATTTTACTTCGCCTGCTGCCTGATATGCCAAAATAGGATCATCAATAGATCGAGGCATTGTATGAATATCCCAAATTAAGGCTTGATTATCGCCGCCTAAATCCAAATTATAATTAGAGAATACAAAAGATGGAAATAAATAATTTAAAGGGTAACTTTCAAGTGTTAAACAGATTAAGAACTTAAGACTAATCAAAAACTTTCGTACTTATCAAAAAATTACCTGCAGTACATATATGACATGAAGAATGTGGAGCCCAGGCAAAACCATTTACACGTCCACGATGATTATTCAGTCTAGCAACAGGTATGCAAGGTAAACGCACGTCGATTATTAATACCTAGATATCTACTGATTACTACTAACTTCAACAATTAAATAATTCGATGCAGATAAAATAGTCTTAAACTTTGATATATTTAATATCATTTGTGATTCCTATCTTGGCTCCAAATCATTCCGCATCACATCAAACGCCACATAAAATTTCAAGAAAATAGTACTGTAAATGCTGAATGGAAGTGTACGATGTTTATTTGATCTTAGTTTACTTTCTATATAATAATAGAAAAACTTAAAGTCATCTATATTCTGAATAGTGGGATAATTTTTATTGATGAGTAAAACAAACTTCTGTAGAACCTTGAACAAATACAGCAACATAATTATAATCTTGTTTATTACATGCCACACGCAGTAAAGGAGTATGGGATGATTCCTCGAACATTACTGATGAATGCTCGAGATGACGTAGATCAAACATTCGTAAACTTCCATCAGCTCCTGAAAATTGTGGTAAAAAACCAATCATAGTCTCACAAATCAAAACTTCACAATATTTATGTAAACATACCTTAATTTAATATAAAAACAAGTTGTAATTTTAAAAAAAATTTCTAAAAAGAAAATTTTAACTTTTCTTCTATAGCAAACAAAGTAAAGAAGGTAGAATAAAATAACAACATACCAACACTAGCAAACACTTCTCGACCACTTGCCATTCTCGTGAAAGCAATATCAAAAACTTCTTTATCATGAGCTATCAACTGTGTCTTCACAGTCCCCTCTGTTGTTCGTACAATACCTACTGACTGACCAGTCTAAAACTTTTTTTAATAAAGTAATTGATATCGGTTGTAACAATAATTAAAGCTACACCACCGATACTTATAAAAATTAACCTCAATTTGCCAAATGGTACATGTAGTGTCAATGCTTGATGTGCCAATCAAGCTAATATCCACATCATTCCAATCGCATGACGTCAATGGAGCGCAATATTCACTGCTCCTATTCTGAAATCAAACGTAATGACTGAAACTAAAAATACTCGCATCACATAAAATTACATAGAGAGCTGATCGTGCATAGACAAATAAACGCACGTTATTTAGAAAGACCTCAATTTGAGCACCGTAAGTGTGACCAACACGCCATAATCGTAAGTAATCGCCCGTTGTAGCAATTAAATCTGGATAGACACCTCTCTGAAATATCTATTAATTTATTTACATTATTGAAAATTATGCTTTCTAAATAGTAAAAAAAATCTGCAGACCGAACAAGATAAAATTCAATTTAAACCTTCAATATATTGTAAAAGACACAAAGATGAAATCAAAACGTACTATATCTGGAATCCATACCACTTTTGTCGTAGGATATGGATGGTCAAAACTGCCATAATCAACGAAATCACCGAGATCTTCATCAAGTTTTACGATTGAAACCTAATATAAATTTGAAAGTAGATTACCAAATTTGTCTGAAACACGTATTGGCAACTTCAAATACCTTAATTTTGTACACATTGACTTTGATTTTTACGAAAATAATTGCTCTTCAATCCAAAGATAAAATCAAACACCAAATAAAACCTTATTACTGTATTCCTCGATAAAACTCCCCACCGCCAAACGGAATCTTTTTGCTGGATCTGGATGCTGTGACCAAGCAGTAGAATACAATGTGTGCGGTGCTTCATATCTGTAAACCTCTTTCTGCTTGGAGCTTGAACTTAGCGAGCCACCTAGAATTCATACAGTTTATCATGCTTAAAAATAATATATTTCACCATCTTTTGTTATAAACACAATCAATACAAAAGACTTGAAATACATATCTAGAATGTTACTTCATAGATGGTAACAAAATAATCTTACGTGTGTAACGAAACACAGCCATTTAAAGAGCAGTATAACTTTTAAAATCTAAAATTTATGACAGCACTGCTTACAACTTTCCACATTTGAAATTTTAGGAAATCATGAAAATTTGTAATCACCAGGTTGATTTGAGCTCATACGAACTAATTCACTATTTATGATGTGTTGCATAGCGTGAAACGACAGGGATCTAGACACCATAAAAACCCTGCTATCAAATTCTCACCAACAAAAGTTTAAGCTTCATGAAAATAATGTCTTCAGAAACCTAACTGAGAACACCATTATCGAAATCCTTCACCAAATGTTATGCAGTAATTTAAAGCTGAAATAAAAATAGCTTTAACACATATTTTAATGAGCATTCTTATAAGAGTTATAATTCGCCTCCAAAATTAAAGATAAATAAGGAACTGGACAAAGATCCGATAAACAATACATATCATTACACGCAATTCTATTACTGATGTTTTTATACATTCATCCATATCTTTATTAATATTTTGTTAAAACAATACTAGTAAGATAAAGAAAGAGTGCACTATCATCAATTTTTATTCAAAATCCATGTGTATGAGAAATGTTTCTTAATAAACAACTGAGCAGTTATTTAGTACAAAGAAAGATTTCCAAAGTTGTACATTAAATTCTTCACCTTTCCATATTTTGATGCTTAGTCAAAATTCAAGCATACAATACAACACTACCTTGGTCATGGATTTCTACCCTGTCCAATTATAAAGTTTTGCTTTAGATTATTTACATAATAGCAATTTTTTTAAAAGAAATAACCACAAGCTAAATGATACTATATGAATATGCTAAACAACTTCATAATATTAGCTTTGTCTCAAAGCGACATTCATAAGTTAATAACTATTATAACCAAATATGACACAAACGATATAGAGTGAAAAAAGTACTAAAGATACTGCACTTATCTATCATAAATACAGAAGTATTCAAAGACCCTGAAAAAAAACTATTTAACACAAAAGTTGTATGTAAGAAAACAACAAAAAGTCACTTCATAGTAACTCACAAGAAAATATAGAGAAACAAAAAAATATACTGTAAAATGAATAATGTAATTTTAGAGAAGCTCATGTCGAAAATCTCAAGAGATATTGAAAGAACATAATTTAAGTTTGGGGATCTTAACGTAATGAATCTTTCTCATAACTTTTAAATAACACTGACAATTCAGGATGCTCGATCCAAGACAAAGTAAATCACAAAGCTGGAAAAACCGATTAAACTCGTAGAATTTCCAAACATTTTCCAAAACAAATACAAATCCAATCTCTTTGAGATGCTGACCAATGCACCTGATTTACCTGAAATACAGGCAAATAATTTCAAATATTTTTAAAGATAATTTTGAAGGCAAATTCAAGCCCTTATCAGAATGTCAAACTTTCTATTAATTTCGTTTTCTTGTAATTGCAGTTTTACAAAAAATATATGCAGAAATTATTATATCCTGTTGTCGAAAAAATGCTGGTCTTAATCATGAAATTAAAAGTCTTAATTGCATTTAAAAGTAATTAATTAGTTGCTAAAGATATTAATTAAAAACCAGATGAGAAAAGAACGTTCCAGAATATTTTAGTAAGTAATCTCATTACCTTATTTTAACGAAGCATTCTATACAACGAAAGTTGGCTTGCAATTTAAAATGAAATTCACTGTGTACAAAATTAACTACCTCTCCTTCTGCTTGGTAAGCTAATATTGGGTCTTCTACTGGTCTTGGCATAGGCGAAATATCCCAAATTAACGCCTGACGATCATCTCCTAAAATTTTCAATTTTATAGAAACAATTTTGATCAAACTAAAAACAATGTGTAATGAAATCACCTGCTGTACATATATGACATGAAGAATGTGGAGCCCAAGCTATACCATTGACACATGCTCGATGATTATGAAGACGAGCTAAAGGATTACAAGGCACTCGAATATCCACTATCACAACCTAAAAATACGATACAAAAATAACAGTATGCTTCAAGTAATTTATACTTCCAAAATTTATCGCACAAATCATGACTATTCTTCAACATCTGTGTCAATATAAATACCCTAGTAAAATTTGATGTAAGTTCATTTTCTCAATTGTAGACTTTTCAGCGCATCTTTTAATATCCAGAGCCACTATTTTTTTCAACATTTTTTAAAATGTTGAACTGTTTAAAAATCCATCATAAGAATTTACTGGATGTATTGAAGGAAGAAATTTTAATAACTAAAAAAAAACTGCAAATATATGTCATTTCAAGTACTTCATATTTATGACTTTTTAGAAGATATTTTGTAGTCAACAAAGCCGATCTTTCATTTTTTGTCATAAATTAATGTCATTTTTTCATACTAATAATACCAACCAATGATAAGTAATTCAGAAAATACCTCAGCAGAATCTTGTGCAAAAGTAGCTAAATAATGACTTTCTTCTTTGTTCCAAGCAAGTCTCATTAGCGGAGATCTTAAAGGATCCTCGTATACAATTGTAGAATGTTGCAAATTTCGTAAATCGAATAAACGTGCACTCCCGTCCGCACCTTCAAATGTTTTTTATTAAATTATTTCTAGAAATGAATTATAAACTTTGAAATATCTTTTTTCAATTAAAAAAATATCTTTTTAATGAATTTTACCAATTTTGACAACTATTTTCTAGTACCGTTACTTCGGTCTATCGATAAAATTACGGAATACATCAGATAATTTATGACAATACTGGAAATTGAAGATTTCTAATGCTCACCAACAGTAGCAAAATTATCCCGTCCACGATTTATACGAGAAAACTTTATATCATGCACCGGCTTATCATGAGCTATCAACTGTGTTTTAACACTTCCACTAGTTTTTTTGGTTTGAGCAATCGCTTGTCCAGTCTGAAAATGATATTTTACTCATTTCATTTAAAAACACTGGGATAATGAGGAGCAAGTTTAAGTTCATGATGGAAAAGCAGCCTCCCATAAAACACTACAATATATTTTGCTAAAGTATGCTTCAAATAAAATAGGGTAATCTCACAATAAGTTAACCTCAAGCTGCCATATAGTGCAACTCATGTCGATTGAAGATGTACCAATGAGAGTTGGTTCAATATCATTCCAATCAAAGTTAGTCAATGGACCAGAATAATTAGATGCTTGCTTCTGTAATTTATAATTGTTTGAAGCTCTTATAGGACTTGCTATGAAATTAAACTGCTAAAAATATTTCACATAGAATACACAATAATGCACTAACTTATAAAGAAAATAAGATGGACATATAACCAAAGATAACATACGTTATTTAAAATACATTCCATCATTATTGAATTTGGCTCGACTCTATAAATTTTCAAACATTCCCCACTGGTTGCCAAAAGGTCTGGGTAAGAATCTGTCTGAAAAGGAAAACATGAGCTAGAATAATAATAATTACATTTTAAAAAAGCTGATTATCTTGAATTTGGAGCAAACTACGATTACGACATAACTTACGAAAATTAATGAAAATACATGTGAAATTAACACAAACTGTGTCTGGAATCCATTGAATACAATTTGGAGGAAAAGTATGCTCGAATGAAAACCTTTCTACAAGTTCTCCTTGCTGTTCATCCAGCTGTATCACTGAGACCTACAAAACTGCTTAAAAAAATAAATCGGAAACTTCTGATCTTTATTTTTTTTCTTCTTTCGAAAAATCTAAACTTAAATATTGTTTTTATGAGTGAAAAGACAGAAATACTACAAAAGGTCTGGGTAACTTTTTACAGCTGGTTGTTTTTATGTATTCCTAGTCATGATCTAAGAGAAAATGAATATAATAATGAAGTTTAAAATTGGTTTTTAAACAAATAAAAATAATAAATTTGAACAAACTCGATTATTATGAGGTTTATCTTCGACAACACTACCAACAGCAATGCGCCATCGTCTTTCTGGATCAAGCTTATTCGACCAACCAGCTGCAAAAAGTGGTCGATTTGAGGTGAAACGATAAATTTGTCGACGTTTGGGTGGTACTGGAGGAGCTGGTACTGCAACTGTTGGTGTCGGTGGAGGAGCACTTTCTATACTGCTTGTTCCCGACGATCGATGAATATTTGTATTACTTGGCATTGCTAAAAATTAATATATCAAAAAAAATTGTTAACAGTATTGTCCTAAATATCACTATTTTGCTATTAAATGATTATGCTCTTAACTACAACAAATTAAATAGAATGTTACCAAACACCAATATCGCTTATACTCACACAATTGGTCGTTTAACTAAAAATTTACTACACTTTAAACTATGTTTTTCAAACAGGACAAAGTTATAGTATTCCAAGTACATAGCAACCTAGTTTACTTACACGTAAATTTTTACTGAAATTTCTACCTTATATGTAAATTTCTAATTTTTACTAAAATTTCCAATTTCTACATTTAGTTTTTTATTCACTATTTCTATGGAAGATAATTATGTTGAAAAGTTTCAGAGTTTCTCAGCTCAATTTACTTATCTTAATAAACTGATGAAGCTTACATGACTTTTTACGTTCACTAACAGAAAATAGTAAATAATATTAATAATAGATATTTTTAAAGTTTGCTTTGTATTTTAAAAAGTCCTGACTCTCAAAATTTAAAACACTTTATGAAAGCAATCTAAACTAAAATAATACAAAGCAAACTTTAAAAACTGAAATAAAGATCACGAAAGGAACTGATATAACAACTATACTCGCAGTAAGTAATAAATACAAAATATAAATCAATAACAACAAATTTTTCTAACAAGAATTAGCAGCATTTGAAATCTGATGATTGATCTGTTGATGTAAGTTTTGCTGTACTCCAGAAGTATTGGTTGCAAGTGACGCAGAGTTACCAGATGGCGTCGCAATCATTTGACCGAAATCGTAAAACATTAACAACAACGATTTTATTTCTGAAATTAATCATATAGTTACAGAAAAATTTGTTGACAGATATAAGAAACTGTCAGCACTTGAATTATTCAATATACGATAAACTAATATTAAAAATTAATACAAAAGATTTAAAAATTATTAGTACTCAAATTAATTACTTGCACAACTATAAGTTAATAAGTTATTAATATAAACATAATGTTAAATAATATTGCAAAAATTTACTTAATAACCAGAATTTAATTTAAATTAAATGTTCAAACTTAAATACTCAAATAAAAAGTACAAGTATTAATAAAATGCTTATAAAGAGTTAAAAGTAATAACGCCATAATAATTAAACTTTACATCCGTAAACATTGAACTAAACTTTTTGTGCAAATAATCTTCACGAAATCAGATCTTCCACGTCAGTTAATCAGTAGAGCAGTCAGAATGAAAGCTATTTTTGAACGAAAAAACGCGGCCTTGTCGTAAGAACATGTCGTCCGATACATAAATTTTCATAAGTAGCAGTCCTTGGCATTGGAATAAGGTCAAGTCGCATTGAATCGTGGTTCACGTGAACCCTAATATCTGTCTCCATACCGCAACGAGAAAAGACTCAGATAGGGGCGAAGTATCAGCACGATCATCTCATGCGGATGAAACTACGTTGAACTATATTGTCATCATTGTCATATTTATATGAACTAGCTGGTGGAGATGAACCCGCGACACATTTTACGATTACTTTAACACCCTCCACTACGCCAACTCTATGAGACTTCTGTCAAACTTAAATTAGAAATTATAATCTAAATTAAAAATTATTTTAGAGTTTTCATGCATGAAATAAATATTAAGTAAACAATGTATTTTTTTAAGTAGCAAGTTCAATAAACAAGTTCTGATATTAAATTAGAAATGAGAATGCATTAATAGATAATAAATTTTTATAATTTTTCATTTCGATTTATAATTACTAGGGTATTGATAGTGGTTATTATCGCTTCAAAAATTAGTTATTTGAATGGTCAAAGTTCACTTCGTTAAAAAAGTTTCTGGAAAAAAGTCAAAGTTCATTTCTGGAATTATTTGAAAATAAATTTTAAAAATTTCAAGAACAGTAAGAACTGTATAGCAAAAATATTTAAGCATATGACTTAAAGGGATTTATGCAGTTTGAATTAATTAATACGAACTGGTAATTATGTATTATTTAAATCATTCTAATCGCTTTAATAATAATTATTTTAATTGAATTTATCATTTTGTTAAATTAATTCTAACTGTTATTTAGATAGTAATTTAATAAAGATTGAAAAAATTATGCAAAAAGCGCTGTGTAACTTAGCAAAAATTAGATTAATAAGTTGTATATCACAATTATTTGCAACTTAATCGCAAAAATTAGAAAGAAAGAGTGCTATAAATTTATTGTAAAAATTAGAATTGAGCAATTATTTTTATTATTTTTACAAAATTTAAATTTTTATTTATTTTGAATGACGTCAATATTTAGTACAATTTAATATGCTTAAATTAAAATGTTATGAAAACTAATGTATTTTGCTGAATTATAGCCACAACTATGACAATTAAAGACAATAATGACGATAATTATCATTATTATCATTATTAAATTTATTTATGCATGTCAAAAAATACACAACCATCATTGTTCATTTATTGTGATTACTACTGTTTTCATGTGAATCTTTTGTAACCCATTTTTAAGTATTTAAAAATGATTAATAAAATTGTAATTAGATGAATGAAGCAAATTTTTTTTTGTGACAGATAAAATGGAAATAATCAGATTTGATCTCAAACATTTCATTTTTGAACTCAATAATTCTTTTAATATCTTTCATTCACATAAATGTATTCAATAATTTTTTATGCAAGTACTGACCACAAAAACAAAAAATAAAAAATAATTGAGGCCAACACAGTTCCTTCTAAAACATACAATAGTGATTTGTTGCAAAAGTTCATTAATTAATTAATCAAGTAATTAATTAAGGTCTATTTCCTTTTTGTTTTGTACTTTAAATGTTAAAAAAAGTGTTACGGATTTAAATTTCCACAATAAATATTTAGAACATGATAAGTAAATAATAAAATTTTGAGGTAATTGTTTAACATAAACAAAACTGTAAAGCAACTTTAATTTGCATAAATTCAAATTCAGGAAGACTTATTTGGTTGAATTCACGTCACAATTACTTAAAATTACGTGCATTACAGGTTAATAATAAATCCTAGTTACTTGTTTCATATTAATTAATAGTTATTTTCGAATATTGCTAATAAGATTAGCAATATTTGTAATCAGCAATGCATTTATGATACTAGCAATATTTCCATTACGACGAATTAAGTTATACTACTTAATTCATAAATTAGCACATTAACTGAGAAAAAACATAATTATTATTTTGACCACTCATAAGAAATATTATTTGACTGCATTATATATATATAAAGATGGAAAATACTTAATATTACAATATATTCTTAATATCACTTTCAAGTTGATATTAAATCTCTATGAATAAATAATTTAATATCTTCTTGAAAGTAATAATGATGATATTCGGCAGTTTGGCAAATAAAACGATCGAATTAACCAATTCATATTGAACAGTTTAAAGGTCATTATGACAACAACTCCCTTAATATAGTAATTAATTCTTAATTATTATAACACGAATTTCAATTCCAGTTTTTGTTATTATACTTTATAAATATCTATTAATTATTTAAAATTTGTGGCACGCTTTAAAAATTAACCATTTAAATACCATATGACCAATTTCGAAGTTTAAATTTTTAAAGCTTAAAAAATATTTAGTGTTTTAATTAATTAAAGGTGCTACTTT